GGAACAGTTGTAGTTGTTAGTGAAGTTGTCATTGTCCGTGTTATTGTCATTGTTAGTGTAATTGTCATTGCTGTTGCTCGTGTCCTTTTTAATGTCCCTGTTGTTGTTGTTGCCATTGTCTTGCTGTTGTTGTCATTGTTGTTGTTGCTGTTGTTGCAAATGTTGTCATGTACATTATTGATTGTTGTTTTTTTGGCGGTTGCTGCTGTTTTTCACAAGGATATTGTTGTTGTCGTTGCTGCTGCTGTGTTGTTATTGTTGCTTTTGACATTGTGGTTTTGTTGTTGTTGCCATTGTTAATGTTGTTGTTATTGTTGTAGTTGCTGCTCTTGTTGTCATTGTCGTAGCTGCTGTTTTGATCATTGTAGTTTTTTTTTAATTGTCGTATTTGTTGCTGTCGTCGTTGTTGTTATTGTTATCGTGATCATTGTTGTTGCTGATGATGTTGTTGTTGCTGCTGTTGCCGGTGTTCTTGTTGTAGTCACTGCTGATGTTTTTGTCATTGTTGTTGTTGTCGTGATCGTCGTTGTTTTCATTTTTGTTGCTGTTGTCATGGTTATTTTTGTTTCTGTTGTCATGGTTATTTTTGTTGCTGTTGTCATGGTTATTTTTGTCATTGTTGATATTTTCATTGTTGTTGTCGTCCTCGTCTTGGTTTTCGTTGTGGATGTTATTATTGTTTTTTTTCATTGTTGTTATTTTGTTGTTGTTGTTGTCCTTCTTCTTCTTCTTCTTCTTCTTCTTCTTCTTCTTCTTCTTCTTCTTCTTCTTCTTCTTCTTCTTCTTCTTCTTCTTCTTCTTCTTCTTCTTCTTCTTCTTCTTCTTCTTCTTCTTCTTCTTCTTCTTCTTCTTTTTCTTCTTCTTCTTATTCTTCTTCTTCTTCTTCTTCTTCTTCTTCTTCTTCTTCTTTTTATTGCTTTTTCATCGTCATTGTTGTTGTCGTCATTGTTATTGATGTTTTTGTCATAGTGTGTGTCACCATTGTTGTTGTCACTGATTTTGTTTCTGTTATTGTTGTTATCATTTTTGCTTTCATTGTGGGTTGTTGTTGTTGTTGTGAGTTTTGTTGTTGCTGTCAATATTATTGTTGTTTTTGTTGTAGGTCACTTACAGGCGGCTGATTGGTCTCGAATGGATGACATCCGCCTTGAGTGCTAGAGGTCCCGGATTCAAGCCCCATTGAGGGCTGGGATTTTTTAAAGTGGATCTCTAGTATTTTCTCCTGGTCTATGGGTAGTAATATCGGACGCCTGTGTGTGTGTTGTTGCGCACGTAAAAGACCCTTTGCAACTGGAAATCGAAAAGAGTAGCCTAATGGCGCTGCCCAGGCAAAATGTGTAGTTACAAATATACCCAAAGTATTTCAGAATCCTCTTCGGTGCTACGGAGTTCTTGCACTGAGCTGAGATTCTTCGGACCCAGGCTTGAGTTAGAGAAACGGAGCACTTATGGATTACTACCCTTGTAGATGATGATGATGACCAGTTGAATAAACATAAACGTAAAGTCACTGACACAAGTGGACACTAATACCGCCCCCCCCCCATCCCGTGCCCCCTTTTTTCATAGTCTTTCTTTGTTTTCTCTCTTTATTTCATCTGTTTTCTCTCTCTGTTTCCTTTTCTGTCACTTTCTTCGTCTGCTTTTTTTTCCCCCTTTATCAGAAAGACGGAAAGGTGCCAGGAATGAATAAGAATGAATGAATGATGATTTATCGAGGAAAAAAGGCTCTCCCTTCCATTTACGTCCCTCACCCCCGCCCCATTGCACCCCCACCCCCTCTTCCGTTGTGTCTCTAACAATTCCGGAAGAGCCCCGTTACCCGTAGACGTCTGCTAACTCAACTTTCAGTTCCTTGGTTTTTCAAAAGCCTCCACAGAGTTAATGGCTGACACGCATACAAATGTCTCTTAAATCATAGCCGGTTTTTGTCAAGCGCATACAAAAGGGCCCTGCCCGTTTCACAGAGCATTATGTACCCGGCTCAACCACAGACGTTATTTTAATGTTCAGTCTAGTTGCGGATCGTTTCAACGCGCCGGGGTTTATCGGTACATAACCAGCTGACAAAGTGAAACATTTGTCATTTTGTACTGAGGAAAAGGTGCCACTGGAAATATTTCTCGACCCCCTGACAACACAGACACAGACTGTCTTAGTGATTTCTGTCCTACTTTTAGATTTCCAGTGATAAAAATTCTGAACATAATTGAAATTTATGATGTTTGTCATTCCATTATCTGAATGTCATGTCTATTATTACATTATTTGTATGTCATATTATATCGTTCCGTTATTTGTATGTTATGCCTATCATTCTTTTACCGTCACCGTAATGTCACCGTACATTCTTTTTACCCGTATGTTATGTCTATCGTTCCGTTACGTGGATGTTATGCTACAGAGACGGCAGATGTTTTTGTTATTCCCAAACTGGACAACAAAATCCTAGCACTGTCATGCAATCAACACATGTTTGTGCTAATTTTCGGGTAGCGAACACGAAAATGGCACTTAAATATATGTCTGTGTTAGCACTTCGGATGGCTACCGTATGCATTTTTAATGCGTGTGTATGCTAGTGCATTTGCTGAGACAGCAGTCTGTCAATCTTTCCACAAGGAACTGTGATAAACATTATGTGTGTTGTTCGTTGGCACAGGAGCGGAGCAACTATGAGGTGACCCGTTAGCTATAAAGCTAAAACTAAGATTACCAGATTACCAGATTACTTCAATATATTGACTGGCTCTTGTTTATGAGATTCTGAGATGGTTATGTATAAACTGCCCAGCCTACGTGTAGTCAGAATGTTTGTATTCAGGAACGTCGTTTTTTCAGCTGCAGACTGCAATATACCGCGTGAATAGCAGCACCCAAACATGAACACTAATCGAGAGAACCAAAAGTCATGCAGTCATTAGTAAACAGCACACTCTCGGAGTGTCAACAAATAATTTCCTCCCTGCGTTAGTAGGGGTTATACGAAAACAGAAAGGGACTAAAGTGTACCCGAAATACAATCTGCTGTCCGAGCAGTTTCACATTGTTGCAGACTTCCCGTTCTAAGGGTGGGGCTTGGAAATAACCGTCCCATATTGGGAGGGTTTAATGAGCAAGTACAATGTTTTGAGTGTCGTTCAACGTCACCAGGACCGCAATAAACACATAGTGACACAAAGTGCCACCATTCGGATGAAAATCATGTTGCAAAAAGTCCCAGAAACGAGCTCAACCCGTAGGTTATATTAAGGGTCCCCTACAACAGCCGGGGTAGGGCTTTAAAATAACCCCCCCCCCCCCCCCAATTTCTTCCTTAAAAAATGCGTTTCATACTGGAGGGAGATGGGAGGTGTTCAGGTTTTTTCTTTTCTTCTTTTGTTTGACAGACGGCATTTTTTTTTTAATCAATAGGGAGCCATCGGATAACTATGGGCTTTGTGTGTGTGTGTGTGTGTGTGTGTGTGTGTGTGTGTGTGTGTGTGTGTGGTGTGTGTGTGGTGTGTGTCAGTGTGTGTGTGTGTGTGTGTGAGAGAGAGAGAGAGAGAGAGAGAGAGAGAGAGAGAGAGAGAGAGATAGCAATAGGGAGCCGTAGGACAACTGCGTTTTGTAGCACTAGGGAGTCGTCAGATAACTATGCGATTTTTTTTTTTTGGAAGCAATAGGGAGCCGTCAGATAACTGCGTTTTTTTTTTGGTAGCAATAGGGAGCCGTCAGATAACTATGCGTTTTTTTTGTGTGTGTAGCAATAGGGAGCCGTCAGATAACTATTTTTTTTTTTTGGTAGCAATATGGAGCCGTCGGATAATTATGTATTGTTTTTTTTTTTTTTTTTGTAGCTATTGGGAGCCGTCAGATAACTATGCGTTTTTTTTTTAAGCCATAGGATAACTATGTGTATTTTTTGGTAGCATAAGGGAGCCGTAGGATAACTATGCTTTTTTGTTAACAGAATAGACTATGAGGTAAATTACAGGAAAGTAAAGGCTGCGGGTAAGAATGTCGATGAAAACTTCACACATCTAGTGGTCTACAGAAATGTGGGTTTAACATAATATGCACAGGATTCCACTGGCAGGAAAAGGGCCCTTGACTGTGACTGGCTTGACTGTGAATGACTTGTCTGTGACTGGCTTGACTGTGAATGACTTGTCTGTGACTGGCTTGACTGTGAATGACTTGTCTGTGACTCGACTGTGATGATTGTCTGTGAGGTAAGACACTAGGACAAATGACTGCTCGTGCGATATGTCCAGGTAAGACACTAGGACAGACTGCTCGTGTGATATGTCCAGGTAAGACACTAGGACAGACTGCTCGTGCGATATGTCCAGGTAAGACACTAGGACAGACTGCTCGTGCGATATGTCCAGGTAAGACACTAGGATAGACTGCTCGTGCGATATGTCCAGGTAAGACACTAGGACAGACTGCTCGTGCGATATGTCCAGGTAAGACACTAGGACAGACTGCTCGTGCGATATGTCCAGGTAAGACACTAGGACTAGGACAGACTGCTCGTGCGATATGTCCAGGTAAGACACTAGGACAGCCTGCTCGTGCGATATGTCCAGGTAAGACAGACAGACTGCTCTTGCGATGTGTCCAGGTAAGACACAAGGACAGACTGCTTGTGCGATGTGTCCAGGTAAGACACTAGGACAGACTGCTCGTGCGATATGTCCAGGTAAGACACTAGGATAGACTGCTCGTGCGATATGTCCAGGTAAGACACTAGGACAGACTGCTCGTGCGATATGTCCAGGTAAGACACTAGGATAGACTGCTCGTGCGATATGTCCAGGTAAGACACTAGGACAGACTGCTCGTGCGATATGTCCAGGTAAGACACTAGGACAGCCTGCTCGTGCGATATGTCCAGGTAAGACAGACAGACTGCTCTTGCGATGTGTCCAGGTAAGACACAAGGACAGACTGCTTGTGCGATGTGTCCAGGTAAGACACTAGGACAGACTGCTCGTGCGATATGCCCAGTTAAGACACTAGGACAGACTGTTCGTGCGATATGTCCAGGCAAGACACTGGGACAGACTGCTCGTGCGATATGTCCAGGTAAGACACTAGGACAGACTGCTCGTGCGATATGTCTAGGTAAGACACTAGGACAGACTGCTCCCGCGATATGTCCAGGTAAGACACTGGGACAGACTGCTCGTGCGATATGTCCAGGTAAGACACTAGGACAGACTGCTCGTGCGATATGTCCAGGTAAGACACTAGGACAGACTGCTCGTGCGACATGTCCAGGTAAGACACTGGGACAGACTGTCGGGAGTGTTATACTGTCAGAAGTATGTTACTGTCAGGAGTGTTATACTGTCACAAGTATGTTACTGTCAGGAGGGTTATACTGTAAGAAGTATGTTACTGTCAGGAGTGTTATACTGTCACACGTATGTTACTGTCAGGAGTGTTATACTGTCACAAGTATGTTACTGTCAGGAGTGTTATACTGTCACAAGTATGTTACTGTCAGGAGTGTTATATTGTCAGAAGTAAGTTACTGTCAGGAGTGTTATACTGTCACAAGTATGTTACTGTCAGGAGTGTTATACTGTCAGAAGTATGTTACTCTCGGGAGTGTTATACTGTCACAAGTATGTTACTGTCAGGAGTGTTATATTGTCAGAAGTATGTTACTGTCAGGAGTGTTATACTGTCAGAAGTATGTTACTGTCAGGAGTGTTATACTGTCAGAAGTATGTTACTGTCGCGAGTGTTATACTGTCACAAGTATGTTACTGTCAGGAGTGTTATATTGTCAGAAGTATGTTACTGTCAGGAGTGTTATACTGTCACAAGTATGTTACTGTCAGGCGTGTTATATTGTCAGAAGTATGTTACTGTCAGGAGTGTTATACTGTCACAAGTATGTTACTGTCAGGAGTGTTATACTGTCACAAGTATGTTACTGTCAAGAGTGTTATATTGTCTGAAGTATTTTAACTTCAGGAGTGTTATACTGTCACAAGTATGTTACTGTCAGGAGTTTTATATTGCCACAAATGTGTTAACGAATAGCCATGCTGAAGTTTGCTGAGGGAAAAGGGGCGTAAAATACATGACGGTACAGGGGCATCATAAAAACGGTCTTGGATATACTGAGGAGTATTTGATTATTACTTTTGTAGTACCATTTAGGATGCGGCGTCCGTGGCTCAGGCGTTGCGAGTCCTACTCGTAATTCCAACGTACCGCGATCGAAACCCACTGCTGGCTGCGTCGATTTGTATCGTGGTATGGGGCGTCGCAGGTCGACCTAGCCCAAAATGGATACCAGAATGGCTATCCTAAGAAAGTAAAGACGGCCGGCGTAATGCTGACCACATTACCCAACTAGTTTGGTCTGTAAAAATATGGGTGCTCTTCCCATATGCCTGATGCTCCCAAGGCGTAAAAAGGGATGTTTACTTACTTACTTTAGTACCATTGAGGGAAATGAATGTTACATTGTTCCTCCGAGAGTGAGATCGGGTCCTATATTAATGTTTGATCTACAAGGCGCACTGGGCCTTATCTACACGGACTGTCGTTTGATGTACACAAATACACATTATTTCAAATTTTAAAATAGGCTACATTTATCCAAATAAAAAAGTATATTTTCTCAAATGCGGAATCATCTTTATAATTCTTTGCGTCCGTCGAATGAACCTCCAGTGACATCCATCCGCCTAGCTGGCAATCTTACCAGCCACTCATTGTTATACCAGAATCGAAGGCACAAATATGAGGGCATAATTTTGTATTTGGGGAAACAATCTACACAAGGTAGCCAGATTGGTTTAGGAAAGGGAGACTGATTTATAGAAGGAAGCAAGCATGATTTAGCAACACGAGTATGTAAAATCTATGGAAGTGAGATGATTTAGGCAAGCGAAATTGATTTGAGCAAGCGAAATTATTTTGAGCAAGCGAGATTGACCTAGGCAAGCGAGATTGATTTAGACAAGCGAGATTGATTTAGGCAAGCGGGATTAATTTAGGCAAACGGGATTGATTTAAGCATGCGAGATTAATTTAGGCGAGCGAGATTGATTTAAGTAAGCGTGTCTGATTTAGCGACAGGAGTATAATCTATGAAACGGAAAATAATTTAGGGAAGAGAGTACGATCTATGGAAGTGAAAAAGATTTAGGGAAGCGAATGTGATTTATAAAAGTGAGAAGGATTTATGGAAGCGTTTATGATTTACGGAAGGAATTATGATTTAGAAGTGAGTATAATTTAGGGAAGTGTGTATTATTTAGGCAAGAAAGTGTAATCTCGGGAAACCAGTATAAATTATGGTAGAGAGAATGATTTACGGAAGGAAGTATGATTTGTAGAAATGAATATGATTAAGGGAAGAGGGAATGATTTATGGAAGTGAGTATGATTTAGAATAAAGAAAGCAAGTGTGACTAAGAGAAGCCAGTCTGATCTAAAAAAAAAAAAAGCAAATAAAGTTTAGTGAAGCAAGAATGACTTACGGAACGTTAGTTGCGTAATCCTTACAGGACTTTGCAGAACCAACCCCAGCCATTTTTTGTTAGCTGTTGTGATAGTTCTAGACAAAACTAAAATTCAGTAGTTTGCCACTGCTCCCTTAACGGTCAGCTCTCAGTACCACTGTCGAAACAAACGCAAGGCGTTCAGCTGCCCAATCTCCCGCAGCTGGCATCGAACCCGGGAAGCAAATATGATTATGGAAGGCAGTATTAGTTAAGTGAGAATGGATTATAGAAGCGGGAGTGATTTAGAGAAGCAAATATGATTCTGGAAGGCAGTATTAGTTAAATGAGAATGGATTAGGGAAGCGAGAATGATTTAGGAAAGCAAATATGATTATGGAAGGCAGTATTAGCTAAATGAAAATGGATTAGGAAAGCGATTAGGATTTAGAAAATCAACTATGGTTATGGAAGGCAGTATTATTAAAGTGAGAATGGATAAGGGAAGTGAAAATGGATTAAGGAAGTGAGAATGGATTAGGGAAGTGAAAATGGATTTGGGAAGTTAGAATGGATTAGGGAAGTGAAAATGGATTAGGGAAGTGAGAATAGATTAGGGAAGTGAGAATGGATTAGCGAAGTGAGAATGGATTAGGGAAGTGAGAATGGATTAGGGAAGTGAGAATGGATTAGGGAAGTGAGAATGGATTAGGGAAGTGAGAATGGATTAGGGAAGTGAGAATGGATTAGGGAAGTGAGAATGGATTAGGGAAGTGAGAATGGATTAGGGAAGTGAGAATGGATTAGGGAAGTGAGAATGGATTAGGGATGTGAGAATGGATTAGGGAAGTGTGAATGGATTGGGGAAATGTGAATGGATTGGGGAAGTGTGAATGGATTAGGGAAGTGAGAATGGATTAGGGAAGTGAGAATGGATTAGGAAAGTGAGAATGGATTAGGGAAGTGGGAATGGATTAGGGAAGTGAGAATGGATTAGAGAAGTGAGAATGGATTAGGGAAGTGAGAATGGATTAGGGATGTGAGAATGGATTAGTTAAGTGTGAATGGATTAGGGAAGTAAGAATGGATTAGAGAAAGAATGATTGAGTGCAGCGAGCATGTTTTAGGGAAGCGAGCATTATTTAAGCTAGTGTGAATGATTCAAGATAATCTGTATTCTTTAGGCTGGTGTGAATGATTCAAGATAATCTGTATTCTTTAGGCTAGTGTGAATGATTCAAGATAATCTGTATTCTTTAGGCTAGTGTGAATGATTCAAGATAATCTGTATTCTTTAGGCTGGTGTGAATGATTCAAGATAATCTGTATTCTTTAGGCTGGTGTGAATGATTCAAGATAATCTGTATTCTTTAGGCTGGTGTGAATGATTCAAGATAATCTGTATTCTTTAGGCTAGTGTGAATGATTCAAGATAATCTGTATTCTTTAGGGAAGTGTTAATGATTTAAGATAATCTATATTCTTTAGGCTAGTGTGAATGATTCAAGATAATCTGTATTCTTTTGGGAAGTGTTAAGGATTTAAGATAATCTATATTCTTTAGGCTAGTGTGAATGATTCAAGATAATCTGTATTCTTTAGGCTAGTGTGAATGATTCAAGATAATCTGTATTCTTTAGGCTAGTGTGAATGATTCAAGATAATCTGTATTCTTTTGGGAAGTGTTAATGATTTAAGATAATCTGTATTCTTTAGGGAAGTGTTAATGATTTAAGATAATCTGTATTCTTTAGGGAAGTGTTAACGATTTAAGATAATCTGTATTCTTTAGGGAAGTGTTAATGATTTAAGATAATCTGTATTCTTTAGGGAAGTGTGAATGATTTAAGATAACCTGTATTCTTTAGGAAAGTGTTAACGATTTAAGATAATCTGTATTCTTTAGGGAAGCAATTATTTAAGGATGCCAATTTCATTTAGGTAAGTAAGCATGATTTGAGGAAGCAACCGTAATTAACAGTACGATTTTCAATTTAATTAATGGCATGTAAAGATAAGACATAATTTGTCACATCAACCAGATACGGAGAGGCAGACGTGGATGGATGGAAGTGGGGTGGATGTAGTGACAACGTCAACTACGGTCTCTGGTTCAGCCGCACTTTTGTTGACGCCCCAGAGACCAGAACGACGTCGACCAGTGGCAACGTCAGGAGTCTCATGAATCTGCACAACAATGAAGTGGGTCGACAGGTGAGTATCTGTATGACATTCTATAACAATAATATGGTGAGTACTTGGTGATCAAGATATCAGAGATGTGTATGAAATTCAATAACAATAATGTGGTGAATACTTGGTGATCGAGATATCAGAGATCTGTATGACATTCTATAACAATAATGTGGTGAATACTTGGTGATCAAGATATCAGAGATCTGTAAAAATTTCTATAACAATAATATGGAAGTACTGAGTGATCGAGATATCAGAGATCTGTATGAAATTCTATTACAATAATGTGGTGAATACTTGGTAAACGAGATATCAGAGAGCTGCATGAAATTCTATAACAAAAATATGGTGAATATTTGGTAATCGAGATATTAGAGATCTGTATGAAATTCAATAACAATAATGTGGTGAATACTTGGGGATCGAGATATCAGAGATCTGTAAAAATTTCTATAGCAATAATGTGGAAGTACTGAGTGATGGAGATATCAGAGATGTGTATGCAATTCTATAACAATAATGTGGTGAGTACTTGGTGATGGAGATATCAGAGATCTGTAGGAAATTCTATAACAATAATGTGGTGAGTACTTGGTGATGGAGATATCAGAGATCTGTAGGAAATTCTATAACAATAATGTGGTGAGTACTGAGTGATGGAGATATCAGAGATGTGTATGAAATTCTATAACAATAATGTGGTGAATACTTGGTGATGGAGATATCAGAGATCAGTAGGAAATTCTATAACAATAATGTGGTGAGTACTGAGTGATGGAGATATCAGAGATCTGTATGACATTTTATAACAATAATGTGAAAGTACTGAGTGATGGAGATATTAGAGATGTGTAGGAAATTCTATAACAATAATATGAAGGTATTGAGTGATGGAGATATCAGAGATGTGTGTTAAATTCTGTAACAATAATGTGAAGATACTGAGTGATGGAGATATCAGAGATCTGTATACAATTCTGTAACAATAATGTGGTGAATACTTGGTGATGGAGATATCAGAAATGTGTATGAAATTCTATAACAATAATGTGAAGGTATTGAGTGATGGAGATATCAGAGATGTGTTTGAAATTCTGTAACAATAATGTGAAGGTACTGAATGATGGAGATATCAAAGATCTGTGTGAAATTCTATAACAATAAAGTATTGAGTGCTCAGTGATGGATATAGAGATGTGTGTACAATTCTATAGCAATGGTTCAGAAAATTGACATGTGTGAGGAAACTAGGAACAAATGTTGAACAAGTTGCACCTTGTGCTTCAGTTCCTTATTGAATGAGGTATATTTATTCTCCTTAGCGAGAGCTATACGATCTGGCAAAGATTGTGTCACTGAGACTGTAGCACAGGAAATTAGAATGATATTGCTGCACTTCGCCGGGGATGTAACAATTGTATTGTGGGATATCAGAGTCGCAGTAACTTGCAGAACTACAGGACGAGTGAAGTAAATAGAGAATAAAGCCGTTGGCGGGAAATGATGGGAGATAGACGAAACAAAGATGGCGGACTTGATATCTGCACCAGGTATTATCTTATATATAATGTGTCGGCAACAGTGCGAAACGAATTTTTTAAGCGTCCACTATTCGCAGTCTCAACCCATCACATCAAACAGATGAGGATCAGCGGCTGCAACAATGAAACATTTCTAGCGTTGATAAAGCAGATTCAAGATTCTAGTGGCTGTAAAGTATGGATTCTCAGGACCTACAATAGAATGTTAAAAGAGTTAACACTCCAGTGTTCACAACGTCCCAGATTGGGATGAATGTGTCGGTGCTAAAAGCTGGAAATTCTGTGACCAAATTCTTTTCTCGCTTTAGGAAATATATTCATTGATACTTATCAGAACACTGAATTATCATTTTTGCTGGTTGCGCCTCAGGGATGGTGAAGTATTTCTGGTTGAGAAATGTTTGCTAATTAAATAACACAAACGCCCTGGAAGCAATCATGGTCAGTGATTAATTGTTATTCTTACCGACACTTCTCCTTCTTCTTAGCGTTCACCAGCTTTAAACTCTGGTGAAAAGCTTTGGCTGTTCGTCCATTTCTGGAGTTTGGTCTTGTTCTATAACTTGAGTTTTGTGTGCACATCCGTTTTACAGATCTAGTTTGTTTGTGTTCAGCACCAGCAACCTCACATTCATGGGCTAATCATTAACTTTATTGTAGATTCCATTTCCCCCCAAACCATACCATAGATGTGTGTGTGTGTGTGTGTGAGTGTGCGCACGTGTGTGTGTGTATGTGCGTATGTGTGTGTGTATCCTATTGCACAGACTGTCAACATGTCTAAGACCCACTCCCCCCCACCCCCACAGCCCCCACATAGGGACCTTAACCATACAATATTACAGGCTCTACCAGGCCAGTGTAGCCATTATAGGTCCTTGAACCTATAACCGGGCATCTTGGTCTTCCTCTTTGTGTTTACCATTCAGAATAAATGAACAGTAATCATATCATCAGGCAGCATTCCAGAGAGGAAACAGACAGCAGCGACACAAAAATGCCATTGATGTGAACACATAAAATTCCAGTCCAGTCAGCTGAATGAGCGTTGCGAAGTGTAGAGATGATAGTTCGAGGGGGCTGGTTGCTACAGCATTGGTAGTGTGCCCTGACATACAGTTCTGTTACAGGCGGTCCCCTGACATACAGTTCTGTTACAGGCGGTCCCCTAACATACAATTCTGCTACAGGTTGTCTTTTGACATACAGTTTTGTTACAGGTTGTCCCCTGACATACAGTTCTGTTACAGGCGGTCCCCTAACATACAATTCTGTTACATGTTGTCCCCTGACATACAGTTCTGTTACAAGCGGTCCCCTAACATACAATTCTGTTACAGGTTGTCCCCTGACATACAGTTTTGTTACAGGTTGTCCCCTTACATACAGTTCTGTTACAGCTTGTCCCCTGACATACAATTCTGTTACAGGTTGTCCCCTGACATTCAGTTTTGTTACAGGTTGTCCCCTGACATACAGTTCTGTTACAGGTGGTCCTCTGACATACAGTTCTGTTACAGGTTGTCCCCTAACATACAGTTTTGTTACAGGTTGTTCGCTGACATACAGTTCTGTTACAGGTTGTCCCCTGACATACACTTCTGTTTCAGATTGTCTCCTGACATATATTCACAGATCACTCATTTTCTGTTGCAGGCAGTAGAAACTTTGATGTCCCGTCGATGCAGATGTCATGGAGTTTCCGGTTCATGCGCAGTCAAGACTTGCTGGCGGGGACTTCCGCCATTCAGGGATGTTGGTGAATACCTCAAAAACAGTTATGAAAGGTCTGTTAGGTTAGCTGGCCGCTCCAAGAGAAAACTACGTCGAAAGGAGCAGTCCAAACGACTTGAACCAATCTCCTACAACGAGTTAGTACATTTAAGCAAGTCGCCCAACTACTGCAACAATAACCCTCAACGTGGGATCCATGGAACCGTAGGTCGAATCTGCAATCGGACGGCTCAAGGAGCAGAAAGCTGTGACCTTCTGTGCTGTGGGCGCGGCTACAACACTCAGGTGGTCAGAAACGTGGAGAGGTGTCACTGCAAGTTCCACTGGTGTTGTTTTGTTGAATGCAAGACCTGCGAAACGCTAGTGGATGTACACACGTGTAAATAGCCACCCATGCATCGTTCAGTCACTCTCTTTCTGCAGCTTGCGCAAAACAGGTGAATACAATCTGTTGGTGGACACCTGTAGAAGACACTGGAAAGACAAGATGGGTGCAGTCGATGCCTATGAATCTATTTAACTATATTTACTCAGGGATACCTTCAAAATTTTTATCAGTCTCCTTCTGAAGTCATTGAATTGAATCTGTTGGTCTTGCCAGACTTCATCTGAACTACTGCATCCTGCAAAATTATGAACAATTGCACATGAACACTGCACGACAGTTGTACACAAACTCTGCACGACAGTTGTACACAAACTCTGCACGACAGTTGTACACAAACTCTGCAGGACAGTTGTACACAAACTCTGCGCGGCAGCTGTACACAAACTCTACAGGACAGTTGTACACAAACTCTGCACGACATCTGTATACAATCACTGGGCAACAGTTGTACACGAACTCTGGAGGACTATTGTAAACAAACTCTGAACTACAATTGTACTCGTCCATGACGACATGAAGACTGATTTGTAAACACATTCTGTCCAGTGATTTGGTGGCTCAAATTTCAAGCCACAAACACGACACAACAAGGCGTAGTAATCTCTTGTCTTCGTGGAACTGACTGATTGATTCAACGTAAGAATGTCTCAAATGTTCACATGTATGTTTGTGCATTATTTCATTGAATTTCGCTTACTTGTCTAACAAATATATCTAAATATATATGATTTTAGTGAGGTGTTTCTAAATGTATATGATTTCAGTGAGTTGTATCTCTATGCATACGATTTTAATGAGGTGTATCTAAATGTATATGATTTCAGTGAGGTGTGTCCAAATGTATATGATTTCCGTGAGGTGTACCTAAATGTATATGATTTCAATGAGGTGTGTCTAAATGTATATGCTTTCAGTGATGTGTGTCTAAATGTATTCGATTTCAGTGAGGTGTTTCTAAATGTATATGATTTCAGTGAGGTGTGTCCAAATTTATATGATTTCAATGAGGTGTGTCTAAATGTATATGATTTCAGTAGGTGTGTCTAAATGTATATGATTTCAGTGAGGTGTGTCCAAATGTATATGATTTCAATGATGTGTGTCGAAATGTATATGATTTCAATGAGGTGTGTCGAAATGTATATGATTTCAATGAGGTGTGTCTAAATGTAAATGATTTCAGTGAGGTGTGTCCAAATGTATATGATTTCAATGAGGTGTGTCGAAATGTATATGATTTCAATGAGGTGCGTCTGAATGTATATGATTTCAATGAGGTGTGTCTAAAGGTATATGATTTCAGTGAGGTGTGTCTAAATGTATATGAATTCAGTGAGGTGTGTCTAAATGTATATGATTTCAATGAGGTGTGTCTAAATGTAAATGATTTCAGTGAGGTGTGTCCAAATGTATATGATTTCAATGAGGTGTGTCTAAATGTAAATGATTTCAGTGAGGTGTGTCCAAATGTATATGATTTCAATGAGGTGTGTCTAAATGTATATGATTTCAGTGAGGTGTGTCTAAATGTATATGATTTCAGTGAGGTGTGTCTAAATGTATATGAATTCAATGAGATGTACCTAAATGTGAGGTGCTTTCAAATATCTAGCATGTCCAACTACCTGCTTCAGGAAATGGTAGAGGTCGACCTCACTGGTTCTGTTTCATACAGATCCGGCTCTCACCACAGAACGACCAGCCGCTTGTCGAGAGCGTCAGCCAAAGCACGAACTCCGTAGCTCCGGTGACGATCCTCAGATATCGCAGCATTGAACCGAACGACTAAGCCATGAAACGAATCTTCGACCTTCATTTAGAACGCGTAGCAAACGGCTTGACCACTTCGTCACAGAGATTCCCTCTGTTTTTTATGTCAACAACATTCAAGTAAGCATACATAGGTATATCACTACTGAGTCACGTAGGAAAAATGTACGCCAAATTACTAACACAGAGAGTTAGACCCATAGCTGAACAACAGTTGAGTGCATCACAATTCGGTTTAAGAAAAGGCAGAGGATGCACAGATGCATTATTCACTCTGAGGCAAGTGTGTGAGAAAGCCATTGAGTATAATACCAAACAGAATATTGTGTTTATAGATCAGGAAAAGGCTTTTGATATTGTAGAAAGAAACAAACTCTGGTCTGTTCTTGAGAACTACGGGGTACAAGGACAGCTACTAGAGAACATCATAGCCATGTACCACACAAAACCAAAGTGCAATAAGAACACAAGAAGGCATATCAGATATGTTCACAGTCAACACAGGTGTGAGACAGGTATGTGTGCTCTCCCCACTTTTATTTAACATCTATATAGACAGAATATCTAAAGAAGCAAGTTATGATACAGACAAAACCGACCTTTACAATCACCATGAAGTACACACATCAGGAAAAGTAATCGATTCACCTTCATTAAACGAACTACTATTTGCTGATGACCAGTGCTTGTTCTACCCTGAAGAAAATTGGCTCTCCTTTCAACTACGGCCGGTAGACAACAGTAGACGGGCGGTTAGTCGGAGTTCTGTCCCCTGACTGCAGTGCAATTACGGACTGGAGAAGGCACGAATCAGAAAACACAGTGAGGTCGACATGCCTGGCAGACCCCGCGCTGCGACTCAAATTAGCGACCGCGTTCAATTACCGCTTCTTGCGACGCATTAAGGAGTGGAATAGGGGGAACGAAACAAGTGACATAATTACTGTGTGTTGGCGATAGACAGCGTGCAGTGCCCTACGGTTGGGGTTTGGGTTAGGGTTAGGGGTAGGGTTTGGGTTAGGTTTAGGGTTAGGGTTTGGGTTGCTACTATGAGTTTGTGCGAAGACGAGATGCGGCGACACTAACCGTAACCCTAACCCACACCCTAACCCTAAACCTAACCCACACCCTACCCCTAACCCTAACCTAAACCGAAACCGTAACCGTATGATTATAGCAGGGCAGTGCTCGCTGTCTATCGCCAAAACACAGTAATTATGTCATTTGTTTCGTCCCCTCCTTTCCACTCCGTAATTGCACTGCAGCAAGGTGACAGAACTCCGACTAACCGGCCGTCTACCTGCCGTAGTTGAAAGGAGAGCCGAATATACACTGCAAGACCACATTAACAGGTTAAACTCAGCATGTAGTAAATACAACATGAAGATCAATGTAAACAAAACAAAAACAATGCAAGTTTGTAGAACCCCTGCCCCACTACACATACAGCTGAATAGTTCTGCCCTGAATCAAGTTAGGGAGTTTAAATATCTAGGAAGTATGATCACAGAAGATGGTAGAATTGACAGAGAAATAAAGTCCAGATGTCAGAAAGCAAGTGCACTTATATACCAATTGTCACCATTATTAAGACATTCAAGCATAACAATGAGTGCAAAGAGACAGATTATTAATAGCATATACATTCCAACATTAAGCTACCAGTGCCAAACATGGACACTATCTGAAGCCCATAAAAGTAAAATTACCACCTGCGAGATGAAGTGCATGAGAAAAGCAGCCAACCTCACCATACGAGATCGAGTGAATAATGAAACTATCAGGCAAATTGTGGGGACGACACCTTGTACTAGATTCATCGAGAAACAGCATATCAAGTGGTTTGGCCATTTCGTTAGAATGCAGCAAGATCAAACACCATCACAAGCACTACATCTCAAAAGATCAACTACAAGAGCAAGAGGACAGCCGCGGAAAAATGGATCGACAACATTAAAGACACTCTAGGCCTTCACGGCATGACAATAGCCAGTGGCAGCCAATGTGCACTGGATAGCAAGTTATACCTCCCCACGGCGCTTAACGGCAGAAGTGGTTTATGATTATGATGATGATGATGAACATTCAAGTACCGCACTTCACCTCCTTCTCCTGGATCTACAGTCCTAGATATATCTGCGTAAAGATAATCGTCGGAGGAATCAACCCTCTCTCAGTTATGAGAGGTGTGCGGGTATATGCTGCAGTTATCTGTTTCTGGTGACTGTTCGGTGCTGGATACTGGTTGTGATCACTATCACCCCAGCCGCCTTTACTTGTGAGATATTTCCCACTAACCATTTCAGCTAGGTTAACATGAGAGGACTATGTGGAAATGAGCAGGTGAAGGAATAGGAAGGGGTGGGGTGGAAAGGGGGGGGGGGTCCATCATTGAGACAGTTTCCAACACATGCAGATTGGGACGTCGGGCATGTGTGATAGCCTTGAAAGCCTGAGCTCAAGCATGTGAGTAAATGTAAAGGATATTATCTCACACCAATCGACCATGTGGTGCTTGAATCATTTAGACTAATTAGTCATGTGGTGCTTGACTCATATAGACCAATTGGTCATGTGGTACTTTACTCATATAGACCAGTTGGTTATGTGGTGCTTTACTCATATAGACCAATTGGTCATGTGGTGCTTTACTAATATAGACCAATTGGTCATGTGATGCTTGACTCATATAGACCAATCGGTCATGTGGTGCTTTACTAATATAGACCAATTGGTCATGTGGTGCTTTACTCATATAGACCAATTGGTCATGTGATGCTTGACTCATATAGACCAATCGGTCATGTGGTGCTTGAATCATATAGACCAATCGGTCATGTGATGCTTGACTCATATAGACCAATCGGTCATGTGGTGCTTGACTCATATAGACCAATCGGTCATGTGGTGCTTGACTCATATAGACCAATTAGTCATGTGATGCTTGACTCATATAGACCAATTGGTCATGTGATGCTTGACTCATATAGACCAATTGGTCATGTGGTGCTTGACTCATATAGACCAATCGGTCATGTGGTGCTTTACTAATATAGACCAATTAGTCATGTGGTGCTTGACTCATATAGACCAATTGGTCATGTGGTGCTGGACTGATATAGACCAATTGGTCATGTGGTGCGTGACTCATATAGACCAATTGGGCATGTGGTGCTTGAATCATTTAGACCAATTAGTCATGTGGTGCTTGACTCATATAGACCAATTG